ACTTATTGAGAGGCAAAAGTTAAAAACAATAACTATAGATAAAAGAGTGTGTATTACAAAGACATATAAAAACCTTGTAGGGACCCAAATAAAGCCTCATAAAATGTTCACAATAATATACTGATGCTACATTGTCCCTGATAAGGCAATTTTACTTGCACTTTTAGGACCTAAACTGGAAGGTGCATATTGGTACTGATATTATTTCCAGTATATGCAACTACTTCTGACACAAGGCCAGATATATTTGTGGTCCCAAATATGGTGTGTCATTTAATTCCATATTGGAACATTCCATTTTTGGTCCTATGTTATTAATTGTTTATTGCCTTACATGTATTACAGGGACTTTGTTGCTTGGTATATTTTGTATTTTTTTCCCTGAAGAAAGCTCTTGTGAGTCGAAATGCATCAGGTCATAACTGTTCTTTTTGTGCATTTGTCACACTGAACATTTTATGAGGCTTTATTTGGGCCTCTACAAAGTTTTTATATGTCTTTGTAATAAACACTCTTTTATCTATACTTACTTATGCTTTTAACTTTTGTCCCTCAATAAGTTTTCTAAACTTCCTTTGGAGGTTTAAACCTGGGAGTACCCCAAGGGGAGCCTGGAAAACCTGGCAAGTGAGATGATTGGTAGGAACTGCTCAATTATGCTTCATGCAGTGGTGTAAATTCAACTTAATAGCTTTTTTGCCATGCCATCCTAAGCAGAGTTACAACCTTTTAAGGTAACTGAAGGCATTAGGCTTAAAGTGGTGTGATTCTGCTTGGGATGGTGGTACTGATTGTTTCCACAGGGGACATTGCAGCAGCACTGTAGAGCTGCAAATGTATCAGATTACAAAAGACAAGAAGATCCATGAGAAATGAACTGGTCATGTCTTTAGTCATCACTTTTTCTTTCCAAATGCTCATAAACAGCATCTCCCTTATAAATAAAAGCCGAATGGTGGTGGCACTTCTCTAGAACATTTCACACGCTCCAAAATCAGTTCACTCTCTGATCTGTCATTCAGAGGGTCTCCCTATCCACTGGCTGCTTTGCCTGAGTCCTGCCTCCAACATTCTAAACATTTTGCAGTTCCTCTCCCCCCCCCCATAGCCAGTCAGAACACAGAGGTTATTTGCATATGCAGCCTCATTGGCCTTTGCCTCGGAACACAGAGGTCGTTTGCATATGCGACTTGATTGGCTTTTGCCTCTAACATTCTAAACAGTTTGCTGTTCTGAGGTAAAATGTGTCCAATCTCCAGGTGAGGGCTGGAGATCACTCAGAATTACAACTGCTTTCCAGATGGCAGAGATCAGTTCCCCTGGAGAAAATGGTGGGCTCTGTATCCTTATATGCTGCTGAGGTGGCCCCCGTATGACAGCCAATGTGACGTAGCAGTCAGGGCTTCAGAGCACGGGAGAGGCTGCAGGTGTGTGGGGGGTGGAAAGCTGAAGAGTGAGGGGGAAATAAAGGTAGGGTGATGATTGGCTGGGAAGAAGATAGGGTTGCCAACTCCATGTGGGAAATTCCTGGAGATGTGAGGGATGGAGCCTGGAGAGGGTGAGGTTTCAGGAGGCGTGGGACCTCGGACAGGTACAAAACCATAGACTCCACCCTCCAAACCAACTATTCCCTTCTGGGGAACCATCGTTGCCAATCTCCAGATGAGGGCTGGAGATCACTCAAAATTAAAACTGTTCTTTAGGTAGCAGAGATCAGTTCCTCTGGAGAAAATGGTGGATTCAGTGTCATTATACCCTGCTGAGGTCGCCACAGCAAATTAACACTGAGTGTCCAAGGCCGGGGCACCCGCCCAGAGCCTCTTTCTAGAGGTTGTTGTATTTATTTCCACAATGGGCCTTTTTCCTAGTTAATTAAATACTTCAAGAATATGTGGATAGAAAATGGGCACGTAATATGTATGTGCATCATTAATATTTTACATGATATATCGGTTGAATTCAGTGATCCATCAGGGGTGGGCATGGACAGTTGCAAATCTTTCCCACATTCCGTTCTCCTCATAGTCCCTTCCCGCCTTGGGATAGTTGATTCTCCAGTTTGCCGGACCCACGTGGACTAATAGTTATGTGAGCTGGGAGACTGCTGTGTGGTGATCTTGCCCCCTTTCTGCTCTCCAGTGCACTCCCCAACAAAGCTCCCTCTTAGCTGTGGAGTCTTGTGAGCAAAAATTCTACTTTGTGAGCTACTGGCATTAAAGTTGTGAGTGAGCGATTTGGCTGCTGCATGATTTAGTTTGCTCTGGAGCCCTCCTTCCTGAGCTAGGACAAAAATGTGTGAGATGGAGGCTAAAAACCAGTGAGCTAGCTCACACTAACTCAGCTTAGAGGGACCACTGCTCCCCAACCTGTGAGACTGTCTGCAAGGGTCCTGCTTTTAGGCTGAGCTTGTTGGTTGCTATTTTAAAATACTACTGAAGACTACAGTGGTTTCAGTTCAGTTAGTTGCAATTGATTGTAACTGTTATATTTTGACACTGTAAATTGTATTGTTAGCCACGTTGAACAGTCTCTGGAGAGTGGAAGATCGCAATCTAGTCAAACACATTACTAGGGTCAGCTCACTTGCTGCAGAATAACCAGGAGTGTTCGTGCTGAATGCTCTTGTTATAATAGAACTAAGGACTTTGCAAAGCCTCAAGGGCCAGTTTTTGTATCCATTTTGACACAGTAAGGCTGCCAGGTTTTTTCCCCCCATAGCATAATGAGTACTCTTCTAAATGTGCTGAGATGACTGTATCTTGAAAGCGTTTCTGGAATATACAGAGAAAGTGCACATGTTGAGATATAAGCAGGAGCATTCACATCAGCCTTCATACATGCATTTTAAAAGCCGCTTGTATTGGCTTCACTACAGCACCAGCATATATCCAAATGGTTGTGTGAACTGGTCCTAACAAAGGAACACTAGGAAAAGGAGAGTTGCCAACTCTGGTTTGGGAAATTCCTGGGTAGAGCCCGGGGAGGGGAGATACCTCAACGGCGTATAATGCCGTAGAGTCCACCCTCCAAAGCAGCCTGTTCTCCAGGGGAACTGGAGATCAGCTGTAATTGCAGAAGATCACCCCACCCACCTGGAGGTGGCCACCATAGGAAAAAGTTATGTTCTGTAAGCAATGACAGCCAGGGCTGCTAAAAGGGGTGGGGGACTAGGGGAACAGAATTATGGGGGACCAGGCAAACTTTGTTATTTGTTTTCATATGATTTGGGGCTGAGCCTGGTTGGGGGGAAAGGGGCCCAGCATGAAATCTTGGGGGGGGGGGGGAGTAGCCCAAACAAGAAGCCACAAGACTCCTGACGGTATACATCTGACATTCAGGGGCTTAGTCTCCTTCAGGAACTGGCCCGATTATAGAATCACGTGGGCTGTTAGTGAGGCAGCAGGTGAGTCAAGTGGTGCATGCTCAGATCTTTGCAATACTATAGACAGTGCTGTCCTTAGACTGCACTGATTAGCTGTCACATTGTTATTCCCTCCCTTTCTCTGTAGAACTCAGACCAAGTTTTCCCTTCTTCTAGGTAGGTTAGACTGAGAGAAAATGACTAGTCCAAGTTCAGAGAGCTTCATGGCTGAGTTCAGGGTTTGAACTCAGGGCTGAGCCCTAGTCTGGTATTCAAACCACTACACCACTCTGGCTGGCTTTCTCACCTGAGTGTAACATCATAACGTCTTATGCTAGCAGATGGAAACATTTAATTTTTTAAAATTTATTTTATTAACTTCTTTTATACCCCTTCTTTCTCCCCCAAGGGGGACCCAAAGCAGCTAACATCCTTTTCCTCTCCACCATTTAATCCTCCCAACAACTCTGTGAGGTAGGTTTTGAAGGAGGCAATAGGGCCATTGTTAAGGTAAGTTACAACAGAGGACAGGCAGTCTAACTGCAGGGCTAATGATGGTAAAACATTCTAAGGTGGACAGCATGCAGAAGTAGCATTCCTGATTGTATGAAATACCTGGAGTGGCCAAATGCCCCTCTGTTGTCATGGCACTATGGAACATAGTGCAGGTACCATGTTTCATGGAAGCACAACTATCTTAGAACAGCACTAGCCTCTCAATAATTGAGTGTGTGTAAAATTCTGGTATTCATAGGCATGTACATTTTAAAGGGAAAAAATGGCCTTTGACAAAAGCCTGCATAGCACTTCTGTCCTGAGGTAACAACACAGGATTTGTGTCTCCCTCCCTCCAGCCCAGTATTTAAATTCGCTCCCTGATAATAAGACCTGAAATAACCCCTTATTGTTTTTGTTTTGTTTTTGTTTTCAACTGTGTTCTTGCTTAAGGTTTAATTGGCTCCAGTCAGTAGGAAAGGGCTCCAAGACTGATTATTTATGGCTTACTGTCAAAAGGAGCTATAAAAAAGGGCAGTATTATCTTGGAGATGCTGGGAAGTTAAGCATGGTGGAGGGAGGGGGGAGTGTGTGCTCGCATAGGAGTGTGTTTTCTTGTACTGGATAAAATCAGTTTTGCTGTCTCAGCAGTGTGGTTTAAATTGAAGATTAACCCTTTGACCTTCACGGTGTCAAATCACTTACAGATGGATCACCAGCTACACTTCTCTCCCCCCCCCATGTTTTGTGGGGGAGTGGGCAGTCTTCTTTATTTTTTAAAAAAGGAAAAACGTTGTTTGTTCTTGCAGCTGGAGCTTTGAGTCTCTCAGAAGCCAATCTGATTAAAAACAGCACTTGGCTAAACTCTGCAAAATCCAGCAAAAGGGGGGGGGCTTAATCCTTTTGTGCACAATACATAAAGGGTCTGTTTTTTTCTCTTATAGAGTTGGAGCTACAATTATTCCTGAAGAGTTTACCTCTTCTACCCCCCACCTTTTTTTTTCAAATGTGTTGTACTGATGGGATGAAAGTGTCTGTTTATGAAAATGTAACTTAGTTTTTATTGGGATAAAGTGAACTCTTATCCGGCAATGTTTAAAATTTATGTGAGTAATTTTCATGAGACCATTCTCCCTTTTTACAGCACCAGCAGAACAGGAATCACGTCTGGTGGCAGATTCTTCTTTTCCTTCATAACGTGGCCTTGAACATGGAAGCAAATAGACACCATGCAGGTCGGAGGTGAGACTTGGCCAGCCTCTTCCAGGTCACATCCAGTCTGCTGGGAGCACTGAACAACTTCAGGGCAGAGATGCGCATGCTGCTGGGTGGATGTGAGGTTCCTGCAAAACAGAGGACCCTTTTGTCAAACAAACAACTTCTTTGAGAAGAACTTGCATTCTCTCTTCCTAATTTCCTGTCTTCTGCAGAGGGGAGCTTTGGTCCAACACTGTTGATGAAAAATCTTCCAAAAAGTGTGCAGTTTTTAAAACCGAGATGCAAATGAGTGGGCTGGTGTATCAGGAAGCTTCCCTTTTAGCTGACAATGAGTGTGCAGCATTTTGTAACCGTAGCTGAGGATTATGGCGCTAATGAATTACAATGAACCCAAAAGTTCACGTGGGTAGTTTCCAAATGAGATCTGTTTGACTCACCAAGGGGAACATTTTGAAGAAAACAGCATTAGTTTAATAGCATACATTTGCAGCTGGACAGAAAGTATTTAATCCCTACATCTTGGGACACTAGTCTAAAAATGGGTTAGAGGTGCTTGAGCAGAGATGTAAAATTTCCAGAAATATATTGACACCATGGGAGAAAAAAGGGGGTTGGGCTTTTCTCTTAACACCAAGAAATGTTGAGGGAGGGGTCGATTATATGCAATGCTTATTAAATTTCAACTTTACTACTTTTAGTACATAAAATGTATTTTATATAACTTTAGCAGGTAAAATGGTACTTGGGTTTGGGTTTGGTATATTTATGACATTAAAAGTATAAATGCCTTAATCTTCTTCAAACAACAATTACAAAAATGCCTACTGTTAAAGATGGACTAACATGACTGCTGCATCCTAAGGTACCTTAGTGTATTGTGTCTTCATTTTTGATGGTTAGAAAAATAAGTATGTACAAAATTTGTTGAACACCATCAGCATGGCAGTAAACAAAAAGAAGTTCTTGTTATCACAGCTTTGAAAGGGTGGCCAGCATTCAAAGAACAATGTAATTTGTTCTGCTCACCCAAAGAAGCCGTGAGCTTGTGGTTCTGGAACAGCAGTCCCCCTTACCTCATAGCTAACCACTTTTGAACCTGAAGAGAGTTTCAAAAGCAGTCAGTGATGTGACATTTTGATCTATTGTTTAAAGAAAAAGTGGGTTTAAAAAAATAGTATTGGGCATGCACACATCCCTCCTATGTAGTCTTTTTGGATGCTGGCCAGTATGTAGACCTCAGAGTTATCATGCAGAATCAGAAGGAACTCAGATTTTTTAGGGGAAAGGCTCATAAAATAAATACACCTTAATTACATTACAGGGATAGCAATACATTCAGATATTCAGTTAATGTTTATAGTAACAGTATATCGTTATCTTACACCGGTTGCAATCCATTCATGTTGACCATGGGAGTAAACTCCATTGCCAGGGAGACTTGCTTATGACAAATAATCATAGGATTGGGTTGACATGTCATAATAACTGTACAAAACTAGGTATCCTGGATCCATATTTATTTATTTTTATTTATTTGATTTATATTACATTCAATCCCATTAAATACGTCCTTGAAAACACCAGGATAACTCATGCTTATTTAATCAGAATCAGTGTCTGAAATATCCGTAACTTGATTCTAAAATTGCTTGAGCTTCAAGGGTTTAGAAAATTGACAGTTTGCACGAAGTGAAACAAGCTTCATAATGTCTTTCACAGTAGTTTGTTTCCGTGTGTGTGTGTTTCAACCATTGATAAGTTTATTTCACTCAGTGCAGAAGATGGAAGGCAAGTGAGAAGCAAGAGGAGTCAAAGGCTATGTTGTATGATGCTGTTGTTGCAGGGGCAATATACTTGATCCGAGTATATGTGTCATGTGTACATCACAGACAATTCACCTTAAAAACTGCTCCATTGCTCAGAACTGCTTGGACCACAGTGTGTGTATGTGGGGGCTTTTGCCTTCATTTCATCACCATTTCCCGTAGTGGAAATGGTCATAGGGGACCCTTTTTGCCCTTTCCTTGGGTTTCATGTTGCCAAGGACACAGGGAGCCTGAGAAAAGGGAAAACAGCCCTCCAACCATCTCTACTAGGGGAAAGGGTGTGGGAGTGAAGGCATGCTGAGCAGCAGTGAGTGATGGAGTCATTTTTAAGGTAAGTTTCCCTGAAGATTGAGTTACATGAAGAACATGTAACTAGGAGTCAGGTTGAGGGATTCCCAACGCAATTCATGTCACATATGTACAGCTAAGCCCTTTTGCACTCCTCAACCAAATACCTGTTCTGTGTTCTGCAACACTGGAACTGTCTTTTCCATCATGAAGTCCCAAGGAAGTTGCTTGTTTAGTAATTTAGTCCAATTCCGTTTCAGTGCTATTGCTAGTATTATTGTGCCGTTTCAGTGCTATTGCTAGTACCTAGTATTGCTAGTGCTATTGCTAGTACCTTTGAATATTGGATCTAAGAGATCTGCAGTAGCAATGTGAATTGGCGGTATATTCCTTTAAAACAATGCTTTCCTCAGTATTTCATTCATCAGTTGCAAAAAGAAAATGTTTCCTAAGAATTAAAAAACAAAACAAAAAACAAACCAAAAGTTTCTAATGTTTCCATTTTAGGCTATGTGCCCAAGAGGGGCTCTTCTCTTCAAATTCAGCAGTATTTTTTTAGGTCTTCAAATCTTTACCCTCTATTTCTATCTGAGTGTGTTGCCAGTTTCTCCTAAGAAGTTGTACTTTGCAACATTTACGCTATCTGAAAGAACTGTTGGATGAGTTATTTTTTGAAAATTTTCAATGATTTGCATAACACTTCTTCAAAAGGGCCATCTTTTCTAGTGGGAAACCTTCACTTAGAAGTTTGGTTGTAACAATGACACTTTTGGTTGTAGAATACTTTGGGGTGTCTAGTTTATACATTATAATCTTTCTGCTCCTCCTTTTCCTTTCTCAAGGCTTTCTGGCAGATACCCTATATTCTTGATATAATCCACTGCCCGTCAGTTTCATTTGGGTAACCCTCTGATAAAAAATATTAATCTTGTCATAGTGCAGAGTTGGTTTGTAGAATCCAGACAGTATATTCCCACTAGGGTTGCCAGGCCTGGCCTGCCAACCAGTGGGTGTCCAGAGGAGCAAGGACCTGAGGGGGGGGGGGGCGGCTGTTGATGACAGTGTGATGTCACTTCTGGGTTTCCCCTAGAGGTGAAGTCCCATTTCTCTAGCAGTGGCCAGAAACTGTGGTAAAACCATGGTATTTTTGGCAGTTCCTAGAAAGGCCTGAAGTCCCTTAATAAACAGTATTCATTTTTGGTGAACAGTGATCAATTACAATATTATATTTAAAAGCAGGTTCCTGGTTCTTTCACATTTCAGTATTAAACTGTTGTATCCAAGGGACAGAACCGACAATGGGGATAATTCATTACTGGTAGATGACCATAAAACCCAATGGTTCTGCCATGCCTCCAAAGGTATGGGTACCACACCAGGAAGAAGATTGAAGCCTGAGAGAAACGTTCACTTCTTGATTTGATTGGGAATAGGGGGCATTTTCCTCTTCTGCTTTTTCTCCCAATTCTCTAGCTAACTCTCTGAAAGGGGGTTGAGTGGGAGTCTTGTCTCCCCAAGTGTATAAAATTCTTGCACATAAATATGTGCATGGTGCCTTAACCTGCCATTTCACATGTTGCTGCTGAGGTAAATGTGTAATATTAGAGGAAGAAAAATTGCACAGTGAGCCTTGATATAAGAACATGCATCCCTATTTTCATCTGTGAAATGGTGAGTGTGTGTTTTATCACCTGTTGTGCCTGGATGGAAGCCATTTTAGGACCACTTTCTGTCAGTGAAGCCTTCTGTCCCTTAAGTGATTAAGCATAGATTGCCATTAATAAAAGCAGGTCATTTGTCCAAATATCGTTATGAATGTTGAACTTTGGATGGACATTTCTGGTAATTAGGTTACATTTGAAGAGAATGGAATCTCAGTATTCATCCCCATTTGAAGAGAATGGAATCTCAGTATTCAGCCCCACTGTTAATATATTGAGATATTAGCTACTGTGTTTCTATGACAGTAAAGCCATTTCACTGCCACAGGAGGTGGTGGTGGCTACAAGCATGGGCAGCTTCAAGAGGGAATTAGATAAGCATATGGACCAGAAGTCCATCAGTGGCTATTAGCCACAAAGTGTAGACAGGAACTCTCAGTCTGAGGGAAGTGATGCTCATTCATTCAGTGGGAGGGCTTCTAGTGTCCTGGCTCCACTGCTGGACCTCCTGATGGCACCTAGTATTTTTGGCCACTGTGTGAGAGTGGTGGACTAGATGGGCCATTGGCCTGATCCAACATTGGCTTCTCTTATGTTCTTATGGTTATTTCTTCTATATTTGTATCCATTTTCCAATGTAAAGATAAATGGACCAGCATAAATATTAAAAGCTGTATCCTCCTTCCATAAACATATTGATCAGGGATCTTGATTTGGAGACAACAATTTCTATCCATCTCCCCACCACCACAGCCTTTGCTGTATCTTTTCCTTTTTCTTTGTCAGTCCTTTATGAAACAAACTTTCCCTGTATGCATTAATAGTGCTTTTGCTGCAATTCTTGAAAACTGAGACGGCAATCATAACAAACTGTACTGCCCAAGGTAGCTCCCAGCTGCCAAAAATCAGGCCAGGGTGGAGGGAGAGGAGGGGAATGGTCTTTGGATAAAAAGACAGCCCTTAGAAATGGCTTTTCACAAAGTGCTGATGGCCTCTATGCTAGTAAAGCTCTGCTGTGCAACTTCTGTGGCTACATATGCGCTGCTACCGTTTCTTTTGGTTTCCGTTCCCCCCCCCCCTTCCATTGCCTTTTATTTTCACATTGCACCAAGGCTGCTTGTCTTCTTCTGCCAACTTAAGCAGCCTGTTGGCAGTAAGTTCACATCAATGTTCCTGAAAGCTGGAACTCTCATTTTGGATGCTTGCCCTTGAGTGAGTGTTTCTTACCAGCCTCTCTGCCTCTTGGAAGCTTTGTCTGTGTTGACTGGTATAAGGGAATGGGGGAGGGGAATCCAGTGCCCTGATGGAAGGCCATGTCTGAAAACTTACTTTCCTACTTGCCTTCTTTTCTTCCTTTCTGGAGTTTGAAAAGGGCTGTTTGACATGTTGATAAAGCCTTGAATACACTGAGACACTGTTCCCATGAAACTGTGAGCTTGTATTAATTCGCATTAATAAGTACTTAGCACTTGCAAGCAACTGCTAGACTCTGATACGAGCTGACAATTCTACCTCGTGTGAATGGGGTTGGGTAGTGGGCATCATCATGCATTCTGTAAATATATAAGCAGTCGAGTTCGGATTCTGTGAATGATAATGGTATACGAAGG